CTCAATTCAATAAGTGATTCCACATCACTATCACTATTTTCTAGCTGCTCAAAAACCGCTTTTGACCTCAGTGGACGCTTGTTTGATGCCATGGACGCTGTCAAGTTTTCCAGGCAAATATAATAGTAAAAGTGCAGGAAGAACACTAGTACTATCTATAGGAACAAAGCTGAGCTGAAATAATTTGTTACAGTATCGAAAAAGTAATGAAATAGCACTGTTTTCTCTATAATACAATGTATTAGTATATGTATGTGGTGTTTCACTTTTGAATTTCGCGCCGGATCCGCCTCCTTACGACGCTGACATCAGCGTACGCTGGAGACGGATGCCGGCATTGTGCGAAGGAGACGCCGAGATGCCGCGGGGATCGAGGGACAAGGTTAGTGTGATTTCAGGGTATTCCCGAGTGTGGCTCGGGGTTACCGCTCCTAGCTTGGAAATTTAACCCCGAGCCACACTGGGGAATACCGCCAGGGAGGTTAAAGGCTGTGCGCACCTGTGCAATCATTGGGTGCTGGTCACTGCTACACCCTAGACCCAGGACTCGAGCTTTCTTCCCTCCTGAATTACCTTGAAAGCTCCCAGTTCCAGGATCCCAAGCATAATCCAGACAATCCCTTACTTCCTGGCACCTCTCAGCCCTTCTGGCTGAGAGTCCTGGGTGATCATAACACCCAATTCTACAGTAGGATTGCCACACAATACCACAATTTATACTGATGTTTTGGCGTATAACTTCAATTCTAGCTCCGGAAGATATGTAAAAAAAAGACTAAGCATCTCTGGTGCCTGTACAAAAGACATGGCCGGAGTAAAGCATAGTATTTCCGTGTGCGGCGGTGGACATGACTAAACAGCCAATTGCAAGGCCTGACTGATGTTTTGTGGTCAACTAGGTAGATGAATGTTGCTGGGTCCCTAGAAGTGCAATTGCATCTAGTACAGTAGAAGAAGTGCAGTTACACAGAGTACCATGGGTTAGATGAATTGTGGTTTGTTTACTCTGTGATCAGGTAGCTCACATGCAAAGAGGTCCCAGTTGCCCTTTAGATTGTAAAAAAAGAAATCAGTGTACCAAACTGGAAGGCGAGAGTCTAAAATTGTTTATTTAAACAAACTCCTCCAAAAAGGTAGTTCACCTAAAATAGCTAGCCAGCCAGATAGCGAACATGTTTTTGGGGTCTGGAATTGCCCCCTTCATCAGGGCTTATAGTTATTAAAATTAAAGGTAATACTTGAGAACTAAACAATGGTAATGCAGTATGGCCCACTCCTGAACAGCACATCTTTGCAGCCTCATTGTGGTAGGGGAAGGGGTCTTTTAGATCCATGTAAGCTCCAACCCATTGTACAGCAATTTTGCACAAAGTTCCAGCAGGGAGACAGGGTGGCAGAAGAAGAGTAGATCGCAAGTATGACCTCTTCCTGCTCTAAACTGAACCTTTCACTTTGCCCTGAATGGGAACCAGTAAAAACCCATTTAAGACCTAACCTGAAAACTAGGTGATTTAGGCTAATCAGGGACCAGTCATCAATTAGGAAGTAGAAGCATCATATAATACAATTCATTTAATGTATTTTGACCATTTATAAACTTGTTAGGGATTTATATATTTCCCAAGGTTTTTTACAACACCAAGCTCCCTAAAATAAGAGCTGTGAGATTCTTACACCTTACCTGATCAGCGCACCAAACCCAGGTGGCCAACACTGTCAGACCAAATATAAGGCCAGGCCAGGGAAGGTCCCCGGTGATGGGGTCACGCAACATATGGAATGAATCACTCCGGGGCAGATGACAGGTTGTGTTAGGGACAATTATTTTTGGGATAGCCTCCATGTACTTCTTCTCCAGTCCTGCGTACCAGCCAACCTCATTAAACGCTGGAAGGAAAAACAGAGTTGTGTATTATACACACATTGATATCTGCAGGGTGGCACTTTTTAAA